GTACATAAAATGGCCACCTCGCCTAAAAGGGAACCCAAACGAGAGGAACAAAAACTTGTACTGCAGTTTCCATAGAGATCACGGTCATAGTACCGAACATTGTAATAATCTCCGGGACGAGATAAAGGGACTCATCCGTCGCGGGTACTTGAGAAATTTTGTACAGCATAATAATAATAATAATAAATAATAATAATAATAATAATAATAATAATAATAATAATAATAATAATAATAATAATAATAATAATAATAATAATAATAATAATCATCATCATCATCATAATAATAATAACAATAATAAAAATAATAATAATATGTTAATTTTATTATCATTAAATTTAATAATATAATAATAAAATATTTATAGCAAAATTTAATTACTTAAAATTATTTGCTGAAATTACCTTTTTTAATTCAGACTGATAATTAATTATATTTATATTTTCTTAAAATTATTATTTACTGAATATTTTTAATTACTCTTTGATTAACAACCTTATTTTTCAATAATTGATTTTTTATGTTCAATAATTATTTATTTTTGCAAAAAAATCCAACCAATTTTTCATTTTCAATACCCGTACCTAGTACGGGTTCACTAGTAATTAAGGGAAAGAAACGATAGAGAATCATAAAAATATGATGGTAAGCCAGTTTTGTGTTTTTTTTTTTGCGTCCTTTGAGCACCAGTTCCTTCTTCTCCGGTTCTTCTCTCCCTATCCTCGTCTCCGCCTCTCTGTCCCTGTCATTGTCTCTCCTACTTCACTCTACAAAACCCTAGAATTTGCAACTCCTGTGTGTACTGGGGATGAAATTCTAGGGTTTTGGTTAGAGGAGCACAGATGGCGTTGAGAATTCAAGGTACGTATGTCTTAAGCTTATTCCGTTCTTGTACGATTACTAACCCTTTTATTTATTCTTTTATTATTATATTATTGTCTGGAACATCGGTTTAACACCAAATGTATCGAATTTTATCGATATCTTTATTGTAATGTTCTGCATTTATGCATCCAATGGCCTCTGCTATCCATGGTTGGTTGTGCAGTAAAGGAGAGGGATTTGGAGAAGGGACTGAACCCTAACACTTTTGCTGAGCCATTGCCTTCGCCGTCCCCTACGCCGCGGGCTTTGGTTCTATCCAATTCCAGTAAGAGGTTCGATCAGGCAGGGAAGAAAAGATACGTCAAGCAGGTGACGGGTCGGCACAATGACACCGACCTGCATTTGGCTGCGCAGCGCGGCGATCTGGCGGCGGTTAAGCAGATTCTCGGTGAAATCGATGAACAGATGGTCGGTACGCTTACTGATGCGGATTTTGATGCTGAGGTGGCGAAAATAAGGTCGGCGGTTGTGAACGAGGTGAACGAGTTAGAAGAAACTGCTCTATTTACCGCAGCCGAAAAGGGACACCTTGATGTAGTGACGGAGCTGTTGAAATATTCAACTAAAGAAAGCACTTCAAGGAAAAATCGATCTGGCTTCAATCCGTTGCATATAGCTGCGAGTAATGGGCATCATGGTGAGGATTTTCGATCAGCCTTCTTTCTTCTTCCTTTAATAATTGATGGAATTCCATTTTTTGTATGTTTTTGGTTCTAAATCCGTTCATAAGAATCAATAGGCTAGAAACAAGAGATTTAGTTGGGAGAACAGCCAAACAGGGGGATGGCTACAAGAGAAGGGTGGCTGGTATTGTGTTCAGTTAATACTGATTGGAAGTCACCGATGGATTAATGAGTGGATTTTGCTGATTGAACTAGGTTCTTGATCTTGGAGGCATTGCTATACTGGGTACTAACGATGCTTAGTATGGAACTCTATATGGGCTTCCATTTCTCTGTTGTGGGGGATTTAATGGCTCCATTTGTGGATACATTTGTTAATGTAGTGTAAACTTTTGGGCTCAAAAGTGTATCTGAGGTCTGTTTTCTTTCCTTCTGTATGAGGGTTTGTTTTGTTGTTCATCATCATCATTATCCTCCTCCTCCTCATCATCATCCAAGCCTTGCCCCAACTATACGAGTCTGGCTACATGAATCCTGTTTTTCCATTTCCTTCTGTTTAATGCCATATCCATTGTTAAATTATCGACACTTAAATCATTTCTTACTTTTTCAACCCATGTCATTTTTGTATACTACTCCTTCTAGCCCCTTCTACTATTTCAACTATAAATCACTTCTTATGGTGCTGTGTCAAAGGTCTTCTATGCACGTAAGCAGACCATCTTAATCTACTTTATCTCATTTTATTACCCTTTTTTTTTTCATTCGTCCATCTCAGCGTGCACATTCACATTTCTGCCATATGCATTTTTGGTCATGTTGTTTCTTGATTCTGCTTTATATAGTAGCTGGCCTTACAACTGTTTTATAGAAATTTCCTTTCAATCTGCGTGGTATTCACCTATCAAATAAGAAATTGGATGCACCCCTCCATTTTGTCCATCCTGTTCTAATTCTATGGGTGACCTCTTCAATCTCTCCCTTGTTATGAATTATCAAACCAAGGTACTAGAAAAGGTTGCATTGAATCATGCCTTTGTCTGCAATCCCAAGTGTACCTTCATTTGCACTTCTATTATTATTAAATTACATATCATATATCCTGCATTTATGCTTGTCCTACTTATTTTAAAACCTCTTGTTTCTAAGGTATTTGTCTTTTGTTCGTGAACTTAATTTTGCATTTAATCCTTCATAAGTTTCATCAATTAAAATAATGCCATACAAACAACATGCACCATGGGACCTACTTTGAATATGTCTAGTCAAGTCTTTTTTTTTTTGAGAAATGTTAACTGATTTCATTGAAGAAAAAGAGAGGGGTACACAAGAAGGTGTACAAATACAAAACAGGGGTCAGACCCCTAAAGATTACAAAGGAGGAATTTTGTCACAATACAATGTCTCTAAAATAGCACCTAGTTTTGCTAATCCATCTGCAATGGCATTTAAATCCCTTGGAATCCAGAAAGAGATGCATTCTTAGAAGCCAATATATCCCTTGCCTCTGCTAGGAAATGACTAAGTCTCCATGGTCCAACCTCCTGCTTTCCTAACCATTTTATGGTATTTGCTGAGTCACCGTCAATGGAGAGGTTCTAAATACCCAGTCTGTTGACTAAGAGGATCCCTGTAAGAGTGGTCAACACTTCTACCTTTGTAGAGTCAGCTATTCCAATTGGTCCACTGTACACCCAGCCGATGTTCCCATTTTCATCTTTTAAAGCTTCGCTATGCCAGCAACTCCAGGGCTACCTGAGGCACTTTCATCAAAGGTTAGAGTCCAAGCTCCTTCCCTTCTTAGAGATGGAACCCTGGAGGTGCGTGGGGAGGATGGGGAGGAGAACAGAAAGTTAACAACATTCCTGTTAAGATTGTTAACATTAATTCCTCTGAACACATCTGAGCTAGAAGCCCACAAATTGCAGTGGTAATTTATATGAGAGATCAACTCACTCTTGGAATTAGCCTTGTTTTCAAACAGATGATTGTTCCTTTCCTCCCAAATTCCCCAAAGCACAACATGTAACACTATTTGCCAATATACCTTACCTCTCCTACTCAAACCTTTTCCTTGCCACTGAAAAATCAGGTCTTGAAGATGATTTGGAGCTACCCAGCTATACCCGACTAGCTGCAAGAAGTAATTCCAAATTTTGTTGGTTTCCTGGCAATGTATTGAAAGGTGATCAACTGGCTCCCCCTCTCGAAAGCAGAGGATGCAGATGTAAGGAGAGATATAAAGTCTGCCAAGATTCTTCTTTTGCAGTAACTCACAGGTGTTTACTCGGTGCAGACAGGCTTCCCAAACGAAGAAACACACTCTTGAGGGTACGAACTTGCACCAGGCCTTCTTGAAAGGGAAAACACAGCCTCGTTTTCTTGCAACAAGAACCTCAAAGAAAGACTTGGAAGAGAACTCACTGACGGAGTGGGGTTTCTAGACATGGGTGTCATGGGAATTTGGGGAAATGTAGGCTTATTTGAGAGAGAGGAGGAGATCAGTTAGCTCACTGATCTCCGAGTTCCTTAAGGGTCTTCTAAGACTCAAATTTATGTCGCTTTAAATGGGAGAAGTGAGGAGACACTAGGAGATGGTTGCTTCTTTGTTTAGGGTGAGATTGAAGAGTCTAGGATAAGATCTGCCAGAGTGGAATTGCCCCACCACAGGTCTGTCCAGAACTTTATTCTAGTGCCGTTACCCACTCTAAACTTGTGGAAGAAAAAAAAAAAGCTATTGTAAGTGGAAGTTATACCTTTCCAAGGATTTGAGGAAGCTAATCGGTTTGAACAGAGATTACAGTCCCAACTGTTTGCGTTTAACCCATACTAGTGATGGCAGCTGCCCAAAGAGAATTTGTTTCAATAGGGAATTTCCACAACCATTTTTCGAGGAGAGAATTGTTCTTCTCTTTTAGGTGTTCAATTCCCAACTCTCCAGCCTCTTTGGGCTTGTAGACCTGAATCCAATTTATTAGATGGCTATTTTTCTCACCTACACCTTCCCATAGGAAGTCTCTTTGAAGTTTACAATCTGTAATATGGTTTTGGTAGGGATTTGGAACATTAAGAGGAAGTAAATGGACAGGTTTGCAAGGGAAGCCTTATTGAGGGTAAGTCTATGCCCTTTGGAGAGATAACAAAGCTTCCAAGAAGCTAACTTCTTTTCACATTTTTTCACTACTGGCTCCTAGAAGCTTGGACTTTTTGGGTTCCCACCAAGAGGCAGCCCCAAATAAGAAAGGGGGAATTTTTCCACTTAGCAATTCAGAATTACCTTGAAGCTTTCCAAAAGGGTTTCTTCAACTAAGTTTATAGTCACTAGACTACTTTTTGAGTAATTTACCCTTAAACCAATGACTAATGCGAAGCAATGTAGTACCCTTTTCACATTAGTGATATTCTCCAAGTTAGCCTCTAGAAACAGGATAGCATCGTTTGCAAATTGGAGATGGGAGACATTAAGAGTATCTCTTCCTACCTCAAAACCTTTGATTAAATTTAGGCTTTTGGCTTTTTCCACAAGCTAGCTAAAAACATCCATTACCAAAGTGAAAAGGAAAAGGGAGAGAGGACAGCCTTGTCGGAGTCCTCTACTTGCTTTAAAGTAACCTTTGGGCTCTCCGTTCAACATGATCGAGAACCGGGTTGAGCTAATGCAGCGTTTCATCCACTGCAACCATTTCGTGCCAAAGCCCCTTAATTTCAGAACTTGGAGAAGGCAGTCCCAATCTACTTTATTGTAAGCTTTCTCAAGGTCTAGTTTAACAAGGAGGCCCGACCTACCACTCTTCTTTCTTCAACAATTTCATTTGCTATTAGAATGCTGTCCACAATTTGTCTACCTTTCACAAAGGTAAACCGGTTTGGAGAAACCAGCTCTCTTAGGACTTCTTTAAGTCTTTTTGCCAACATTTTGCCAAAATTTTGTATACACTCCCTTCTAAACTTATTGGTCTGAAGTCTTTCACTTCCAAGACACCATCTTTCTTTGGGATGAGGCAAATAAAGGTAGAATTGTTTCCTTTGTTTACAACAGCCGAGGAGTGGAAATCCTTGAAAACCTCCAAAAGATCATCCCTTACTAAATCCCAACAGATTTGGAAGAAGAAAATGGGGAAACCATCGGGCCCAGGGGCTCTATCTCCGTCCATATCAAAGACTGCTTCCCTTATCTTGCTCCTCAAATTCTCTTTCAAGCCAAGACCTCTTATCTTCTGCTAGAGTCAGCCCATCCCAACTTCTTAAAGTATACTTTCTAATACTTTCCTTAGAGTAGAACTCTTTGAAGTGATTAAGAAAAGCTTCTGTAATTTCATCTGCATCCTCCACCTCCCTTTGATCCACCTTGATTTTTGAGATGAAAATTTTCCTATGCCTGCCCGGCGCGTAACTGTGGAAAAATTTTGAGTTATGTACAAATAAACAAGGACTAAGTGCTGGTGAAGACCCATTGAAACTGTAAAATCTGATCTCTCTCCCATAGGTGTTCTAATATAGGTTGTTACACCTTCATACATATCCTTAATTAAGTCTATATACTATTTCTATTTGGAACCTCTTTTTTCCAAGATCCACTATATTATCTCTCTGGGGACTCTATCATATGCTTTTTCTAGATCAATGAGCATCATATGAAGATTTCTCCTCTTCTCTCATAACTTTTCTATCAATTGTCTCAAAACAAAGATACATGGTTGATCTCTCTAGCATAAATCCAAATTGGTTTTCTAGTATACTTATTTCATGCCATAACCCTTGCTCGATTAGTCTCTTCCAAAGGTTCATGTCATTTGTTTTGATGTTATACTTTGTATTAATTTAACCAAATCTTCTTTGTATGTTACTGATCAATATATGCATGTAAGTAATAGGCATTCTTTTCCCTTAGCTGCCAGCTTATGAGGCATTGGGAGTGTCATATTCAAGAACTCATTCATGAACTGTAATTTTTAATGCATGCTGTTACTTTTATACAGTCTCAATATACTGTTCTTTGGTGTACATGGTACTGATTTTTTGTATTCACTTATTGGCATACAGCATAACAGAAAGATGACATGTTTTTTTGACAATTAACAGGATTTTTTTTTATTAGAAATGGTAACTTTCATTAAAATTAGCAGTTAAACACATACACTATCAATCAAAGTTTTAAAACGTGGAGGCGTGACGCAAGGCGTTCCACTACCTAGAGGCATGAGGCGTAGTTCAGAACGCAAGAGGCGTAAGCCTCCTGAACACAAGGAGGAGAAAGTAAAAATCTTTTATATTAAGAAGAACAAAGATGCATAACATTAGTTGAAAGGGGGGGGGGTCTTGTCACTTTCTTTCCCCTTATCTTTTCTTCCCTTCCCTTCCCTTCCCTTTCCTTTCCTTTTCTTTCCTTTTCTCTTTTTTTCTTCTCTTTCTTTTTCTTTCCCTTCCCTTCCCTTTCTTTTCCTTTCCTTTCCTTTTTTTTCTTTTTTCTTTTTTTTTTGTCTTTTTATATAAGATGTGCATGAGGCGCATGAGGTGTATGCCTCATGAAAAAAGCGCATGAGGCATACACCTCTTGTACCTGAGGCGCATGCCTCAGAGGTGTCAGCGCCTCTGGCGTTCGCCTCAGGGCGTTTCGGGAGCACCTCGCCTGGAGGCACCTCCCATGCCTTTTAAAACACTGCTATCAACCACTCAGAGCATGAGTGTTGACCCCAAACATTGGCTGACCTCCTTACCCACTTGAAGATTACTCCAGCTTCCCTTGCCAAGCAAAGTATTTCCCTCATTTGTCGTCTAAAAGTCTATACACCCAAGCTTTTTGTCTACAGCCATCCTATTAACAGTTTAGAATTTCCCTCTGCCTCAATGTTTTGAAATCCTCATTGCTTGCCAGCCTCAAACCTTGTAGTAGGGCCATAATTTCAGCCCTCCAAGAATCTCCTGCACCTATGTGGCAAGAGTAAAGTGTTATCAGCCTGCCCTCCCCATCTCTGACAACTCCCCCAATTCCAGAGGGCCCCGGTTACCCAATGAGTTTCCATCAAAGTTCAATTTTACCCTTTGTTGTGCTGCAGGTGTCCAATGAGGCTGAACCACAACCTGTGCAGTTGAAGAATTTCCCACTACCAACCATCCCCTAAGCATATCCTCAGCTGAAAAGTTTTTGAACAAGTCAGTTGCCCTCCACATTACTCTGCCCCTTTTCTTAGGTAGTGTGAAGAAACTTGGGTCAAAAAGGCTTGCCACATCTGGAGGAAGGGTTCACCTGCAACCAAAGAGTGAAGAAAACCAATTCCACACAAAAGAAGCAAGAAGACAAGATATTAATAGATGTGTAATTGTCTCACCACAGGCCAAGCAAAGAAAACAAACATGAGGGGAGAGGCAGGAATTTGGCCTTCTTCTTTGTAGCTTATCCAAAGTGTATTAACAGGAATTTCATTATGAAGTATGATTTAATGTACACTTTACAATCTGTATTTAGAGAGGCTGTTACCTCTCACAATCATTTATATTACAAACTGACAAGAATCCTTGATTCCTCAATGCCCCTTGCTTAGCAAGGGTATCAGCCATAAAGTTAGCTGATCTATGAACCCACTGTAGTCTGTACTTTTAATTCCATGTTGCTTGCCATCCATCTGATCTGTTTGATTTCATTTCTGTAGGTCCAAAGAGATTGTTCATAATTCTTCAACCATCCTATCACCGCTTTTGAACCCTCCTCCACTATTAGCCTTTGAAACCTCTTTTTCAGTTTTGCTGCTCTTTTGCTTGTTCCACTACAGTCGCCACTTCTTCCCTCAATGAGTCCCCAACTCCAATTGGCCCTGAATACATGGCAACAAAATGACCATTTTCATCTCTAATCAAGAGGATACTATCTCCGAACTAACTCATAAAAAAGGATGCTATTCCTAGCTTTTACAGCAAGTCTAAAAGCATCTTTGTAAGGAATGATGTCAATCCTCTATTTTTTCATTGTGTTCTCATTTTTTTTTATCAATTTAGATTACAGTCTTCGTGCTACAATTCTCATGTTTGTGTGAAACCTAGAAGGTTGATTGCAGGAAAGTAGAGATAATTTATTGAACATGTATATTTTAATTTTCTGTTTTCAAAGCTCCTCTTTCTGTTTGTAAATTTGGCATATTTGTACAATACCAGGTCAAGCACAGCTCTAGTGACTTTTTCTAAACAGCCATTGTTCAGGTGCTACTAGACCATGACCCAGAACTAATTAAAACAGTTGGTACATCAAACTCAACACCTCTTGCAACTGCAGCTTCCAGAGGGCATACAGCAGTAGTTAATGTATTGCTATCAAAAGATTCTAGCTTACTAGAGATTTCCCGGTCCAATGGGAAAAATGCATTGCATTTGTCTGCCCGACAAGGTTATGTTGACATTGTAAAAGCATTACTTGAAAAAGACCCACAATTGGCTCGTAGAACTGACAAGAAAGGGCAAACTGCATTGCATATGGCTGTTAAAGGGACTAGCAGTGAAGTGGTAAGGTTGCTCCTTGAAGCAGATGCAGCCATAGTGATGCTTCCAGACAGACATGGCAACACAGCATTACATGTGGCAACCAGGAAAAAGCGACCAGAGGTATTAGCTGGGCTTTCTGCATTTTCATTATTATATCCACATACTTTTTCTGAATATCCATTGGCCTAATTCTGTAACAACATTTACCATTAAGCCACTTTCAGAAATTTATACATTTGGATTCTATGGACAAGTGATATTTCAATTTCTTCCAAAGATTTTGTTTAACTTGAACATGCTTGAAGTTGTGTTGATTCATTTTGTCTTATCCCATTCCTGATTCTAAGATTGGTCCTTAGACTCCCGCCCCCAAAAATAAATAAACAAAAAGTGAGCTCATCATCCCAAAGGACAAATTAAAACCCAAATTGGCTAAAAGAGAGTGCAGTTCCCAATGTGTGAATTCTGTTATAGCTCTCCTGCCCAGATAAGATCTGAGATCATTAATTCACATAAGCACCAATTTGAAGGAGAAATGGGACAGTCCTGATCTTAGAAGCATTCATGGTGAATATTTGGGGATTTTGCTGATTCATATCTTCCCTGTTTACCTCAACCAACCAGACTCCGTCCACCATGGGGGTTTTTCCATATTGGTTGCAGAGAGCTTTATAGGAAAGCAATTCAAGGGACAATTCCTAAAGAATTGGGTAAATTGAAGAAGCTAATTAATAGTTTTTGGCTGTCAATGCATTCAGAGCGAGCCTTTGATTCTTTCCTTGCATCTTAAGGGTCACTTTCCTTTTCTGCTTCCCATGATACATGCACCTTGTAATTCTTTTCTTTTCTTGTTTTCTTAGTATTGTGCTTATATCATTAGATCTTTAAATTAAATCCAAGAATACTTGTTTCCCGTTATTTTCCCAGAAATTCATGTTTATAGATAGTTTATGTTGAAATTCAATGTTGACAAAGTGAAGAGATTGAAGCTTCCCATCGACTTTCATGTTTCCACTTTGCATGCTTTTAATTTCATTATGCACTCTGCAGATCATTTAAACAACTGTCTATAGAATTGTTCATAATCTCATTCTTGAACAGAGAGAAAGAAGGAAAACCACTAAAAGCAATTCAGGAAAAACGAAATTCATTTAGAGTACGTCTCTGAAATTCATTATTCATAATATCATTTTCTTTTAACCTGCAGCAATTCTGAACAATTTTCCAAGAAATAGCATGTGGCCTTAGGCCATTTATATTATGTTTTTGGAGCTTCCCAAATCACCAAAAGCATTTTTTCTTTGCTCCACTTAATAGAACATGACATTTCTTTTTCTGACTATCATTTCTAGTTTTTCTTTTACTTCAACTGCAGCCATTAGGAGATTCTCTAGAGTTTTCAGATCCGCTTTTGTAGCTGATGTCCTTGTTAAGTGCTTCACTGGAGGCGGCACTCTCCTTAGCCTTCTTTTGGTTCTCTTTATCAAGGTCAGAAGAAAAATCTTGAGTCTATCACTTCACTCTCTGCCTTTAATGTAATCAACAAAATTCTTTCTTTATCCTTCATAATTGGTTGCTTTTTCTGCCTTAAAGAATATCTATCTATTCTGGTTCGATGGTAGAAATTTGTCTTGTGATGGTCTTGAGAGTGTTCTCTCTTTTTCTTTCTCTCTATGTTCTTTCAACAGGTGTCTCTGTTCTCCTCGTTTCAATGGCATGAATGCATTATAATACATAATATGCCAGAGTATCCATATCTGGAAATCTATTTTTCTGCTCTTGTGCATCTATGCATGTTAACCAAACTTCCCTGAGAACATAAACCTAAATTTAATAATATGAAAACATTGGGTATTTATTGTTCAGTCTTTCTGAATTGGTATCTTATGTGAGTTCTTGTGTTTTGAATTTAGGACTGAGTTTGGGAAGAATGCAAATATAAATATGCACAGTGCAAATGCAAGGTTTTGAAATACCACACACAAGGTTTTGCATTGTACATATTTGTATTTGGACTCTTCCCAAACTGAGCCTAGTCAAAACTCTGCTTCTTAGAGATGTATCATGTTCTTCAGTAGTTGCTTCTGCCCTCAGAAGAATGACTCACTTTCGCTGTTGGTGCTTTGTGGAGAAGAGGGCAAGAGAAGAAGAGGATGGTTTTGCATGTAAGGGCATACTAGTCCTTTTCACCCTTCTGTTACCTAACGGTGAAGATATCTGACAAGGGAAGTCTTAGTCATTTCAGAAAAGAGAGGGGAGGTTCTAGTATATGTCAGAAACCTCAGGGGAGGTTAAGTATTTTTCCCATAAAAACAGTAATGAAGAAAAAAATTCCAATTTAGGAGTTGAAATTGAGAAGGATCAGGGAAGTGGTTGTAGTTCTAAATTTCAGAGAAGGATCAGGGAAGTGGTTGTAGTTCTAAATTTCATTCTTCTATAAATGTACTATTCCTAGTAAACAATGAAATTAACATTTGTAGTAATTTTGGACTTATTATTTATAGTAAATCCCATTATTAGTATTTATAGTAAATTTGTGATTTAACGTTTTTAGTAATTTATGGTTTCTTTAGATGAGTAGCATTTCTTATTTTAAAAGGTTTGTGTGCGGTTTGATATTAAAATTTTCTTGGGATTGACCTTTTTTCCTTGGCTATTAAGTATTTGTGTTTGTTAAGGAAAGCCTTGTCCTGGTCTGCCTTAGAGTTTTATAAATCTATTTAAGGCTTCACTTGTGAGATGGAATGAATATAAACTTGATTTAAAGTTCTGTCGGCTTCACTTGTGGGATGGAATGAATATAAATTTGATTTAAAGTTCTGTCCTATATTGCCTTTTGAGGTACTTTATCTCCTCTCTCTTTTATCTGTTTTCAACTTGTGTGCTGTGACAGAAAACACTTCTTGCTTCTCCCTGCTGTATATCATAGCCTAAACAACTATTTTAGTTGCAGTTGGTGCTGCTACAAGGTTGCACATGCAGTTGGCTGTCTCCCCTACTTAATACCTTCAAAACTTCACCTTTTCTCCATCCTAAACCCCCCAATATTTTCCCTAAACATACTCAGTTATCATCATCTAAGCCTTATCCCAACTATATGGGGACTACTTGAATCCTGTTTTGTCATTCCTTTGTGCTTAGTGACACATCCATTGTTTAATTATTAGCACTTAAATCATTTCTTACTACTTCAACCCATGTCTTTTTGGTCTGCCCCTAGTCCTTCTAGCCCGTTCAACTTGCAATAGATCATTTATATTTTCCCTAAACATACTACCCAGCCTAAACTATTTCTTGAGCATTTACTAGCTCATCTCATCTGTAATCCATCCATACAATGTATTGCTTATTTTCTATTCAGCCCTAATGCAAGAACTTAGATGTCAAATCTAGGATTTTCTGAATTGTTATGTATTTATGGATAGTAAGGTTATTGTCTTACTTTTTGAGGAGTTATACTAACATGTCAGAGTTGTATTTACTAGGTTAGAGTCATAGTTACAAAGTAGGACTATAAGAGACCAATGCGATGCACAGGCTGGTGTTAAAAAGATGCCTATATTACATTTAATTTTTTTATCAATAACACATTTCATTAATCAATCGGAAATAATAATTACAAAGAAGGAGATAAACTTTCTTATCTCCCCCAACTGAGGCTTGAGCCCTCATGAATAGGAATTAGAGTTACAACTGAGCCCAGAACATAGATCCCCTCTCCACCCCTTGCTTAGCTAACCCATTAGCAAACAAGTTAGCAGATCTCTTCACCCAGCTGATCTTGACTTCCATGTCTTTAACCAGTCACCCAAACTTTCTCTTTTCATTGCTGTAATTCCATAACCCAGTATTGTCTTTATTCAGGCACCCTACAACCACCTCTGAATCCTCTTCAATTACAAGTCTTCTTATATTCATTTCCTTTGCTCTGAGAGAATCACCCACCCCAATTGGACCTGAGAACAAGGCTGAAACATTGTCATTCTCATCTCTAAACACACCCCCAACCCCTGAATGCCCAGGGTTCCCTCTACTACTACCATAAAAGTTCAGTTTCATAAAGCTAGAGGGGGGAGGGGTCCAAGACAAACTCAATCTCATTTTGACCTGGGTGCATTTAGCAATCTCTCCCCATTTCTTTAACAGATCATCCACTGTATAATCTGTGAACAGCTTTGATGATTTTGGCCATTGTACTGCCCCTTATATGAATCGTATCTCTAAGGTTTTCAGCACTTCTCTCTATTTCGGAGAAGATCCTAGAGTTTCTTTCTTCCCTTAAAGACCAACATACTGCAGCCCTTAGGCATCCCCACATAGTCCTACCCCTTTTCAGATGCCACCTGAAAAATAAGTAAAGCTATCCAAGTTCAATGGAGGGTCCAACTACACCCAAAGAGGGAAGAAGCCCATTCCTAAATAGTCATTGCAAACTGGCATGACACCAATAGGTAAAAACCAGTCTCCCCACCGCAGCCCTTGGGTCTCTTCTTTTGAATCAGATCACTAGTTTGGTTCTTTCTAGAAATGCTTCCCAACAAAAACTACCAACCCTAGGAGGAAATGGTTTGCATCAAATCTCTTTAATAGGGAAAGGAAGGCCTAGGGAGCTGGTTGGTTGAGTTAAGACTTTGGAGAAAGAGGCACAAGAGAAAGAGCTCGTAGGGGTGGGGGTCCAAATTCTAGTGTCTTCCTTTGTGGGGTCCAAGAAGATATTTTCAAGACAAGATGGTGTTTAGGTCTGTATCTCTAACAGCCCTCCTCAATCCCAAATTCCACCCAAACCTGGCTCATTTTACAAGTCGGAGAGGGCGTATAAGGCCCAAATTCCCAAAATTTTATAAGGTTGCCCGAGTTTAAGTCATACTTGATAAGAGGGGAGAAAACTGGTAACAAGTCATGGATGGCTTTCCAGGGTGATGCAATTGTAGTCCTTGCCCGAATTCCAGGATCCCATCCGTTGTCCTCCAGCCCATGAATGCTAGCCACTATTTTAGCCCATAGTTTCTCCTTCTCTAAAGATAACCTCCATAACCATTTCCCCAGAAGAGCCACATTCCTTTTCCTAATATTCCCAAGCCCCAACCCACCCAAGTTTTTACTCCTAGTCACCACCTCCC